TGAATGAAGAATGTTGGTAACCAAACAGTTGATGGTAGCCATTGACATCCATAGTATGGAAAAAAATACTATGGAAGTCAATGGCTACCAGCACAAGTTTGGTTACACATATATGTTATTTTGTGCTAAACAGAAGAAAGAAACTCATAAAGGTTTGGAACGACTTGAAGATGAGTAAATGATGACAGAATTTTCTTTTTTGGGTGAACTATTCTTTTAAGTCAGATTTTTTCACCCTGTTTTATTGTCCACTAGTTGCCAAGCAAATTGCTTAAAAACAATAGGCCGTATGACTTCAGGTATCATTCATTTCTGTGGGGTGTTCCGAAGACGAACGAAGCTTTTAGGGGTTTGGAACGACATGGGGGTAAGTGTTTAATGACAAAATTTTCATTTTGGGGTGGAGTATCCCTTTAAGGTTCTATTAAGGGACTGTTCACCCAAAATGAAAATTCTGTTATCATTTAATCGTTAGTTTTAAACCTGAATTCGTTTCTTTCTTCTGTTGAGCACAAAAGAATGTATTCTGAAGAATGTTGGTAACCAAACAGTTGACGGTAGCCATTGACATCCAGTTTTATTGTCCACTAGTTGCCAAGCAAATTGCTTAAAAACAATAGGCCGTATGACTTCAGGTATCATTCATTTCTGTGGCACAAATGGTGAAGTGCTAGAGCATAATACTTGAACAATCCTGGCATGCGTTGGGAAGGGGGACATGCGTAGATTATTTTTAGATCGCTTTGCTGTACACCTCTGAAGACCTGACCTAAAACGTCAAATCCTACTGAGACAGAGAGAAAGAAATAGAAAGAGAAATTGAGGGACAGTTGCAACACAATCGCAGCACAATGAATCCAATTCTGCCATGTATTAGTGCTTCCTAACAAGCTTGAGAACCTGAGGCCAGCACAGATGTTTCTGTGTGTGTTTACATGTGTGTGATAGAGAGAGAGGGAGAGAGAAAGAAACAAAGAAACAAAAGAGAGAAAGATACAGTTATAATCAACTATATGTGCACGTAATTCAACCTTTACAGACCCAGGGACCCCTGTATTTTGTGCTAAACAGAAGAAAGAAACTCATAAAGGTTTGGAACGACTTGAAGATGAGTAAATGATGACAGAATTTTCTTTTTTGGGTGAACTATTCTTTTAAGTCAGATTTTTTCACCCTGTTTTATTGTCCACTAGTTGCCAAGCAAATTGCTTAAAAACAATAGGCCGTATGACTTCAGGTATCATTCATTTCTGTGGCACAAATGGTGAAGTGCTAGAGCATAATACTTGAACAATCCTCTTAACCTTAAGTATAAAGAATAATAATAGTAATGCGTGCCTTAGCATCAACACCTTTTCTTTTCTTCTTTTGTTTACAACTCAATGTAGAATTCTTTTGAAAATGTTGGCATGCGTTGGGAAGGTGGACATGCGTAGATTATTTTTAGATCACTTTGCTGTACACTTCTGAAGACCTGACCTAAAACGTCAAATCCTACTGAGACAGAGAAAGAAATAGAAAGAGAAATCGAGGGACAGTTGCAACACAATCGCAGCACAATGAATCCAATTCTGCCATGTATTAGTGCTTCCTAACAAGCTTGAGTACCTGAGGCCAGCACAGATGTTTCTGTGTGTGTTTACATGTGTGTGATAGAGAGAGAGGGAGAGAGAAAGAAACAAAGAAACAAAAGAGAGAAAGATACAGTTATAATCAACTATATGTGCACGTAATTCAACCTTTACAGACCCAGGGACCCCTGTATAAAAACTGCTTGAATTGTTTTAGGAAGATTAGCTAATGTTAATGCTTAAAAGATCATTAACAAATGTACATTCAAATAGAAATTTAAGGAAATGTTTATATATCATGCGTACAGACCCTCTGGGGATGTGCTCGGTAACTGGTGAACAGGTGTTTTGCATCATAGTTGTTAAATTATTGTGTAATTTAGCACAGCTGGAATGTTATACTGACTAGTCATAATACAGGAATACATGGGTCATACAGTACATTTGTTTTAGGAAGATTAGCTAATGTTAATGCTTAAAAGATCATTAACAAATGTACATTCAAATAGAAATTTAAGGAAATGTTTATATATCATGCGTACAGACCCTCTGGGGATGTGCTCGGTAACTGGTGAACAGGTGTTTTGCATCATAGTTTGTGTAATTATTATTGTGTAATTTAGCACAGCTGGAATGTTATATTGACTAGTCATAATACAGGAATACATGGGTCATACAGTACATGGGTCAAACACAATAGTTTACATACCAAAAAAAAAAATATTCTCAGATAAATTTAGAACAAGAATCATTAGATGACATTAAAATTATTTTTATTTAATCATTCACATAGGTGTTACCCATTTGTCATCCAGATGTTTTTAATACAATTTAGTGTTGTCACTTACTCTTTTATATATTTTAACAAGTAAATGTCTGAACAAGTATGTTGTTTCATTTTTACATAAATATATCTGTTACGCTGAATGGCGATAGAACATTATTGTTATTTTCACAAAAGTTATTTGAAACATTAAAGTAGACGCTTGCATTTATGCTTTCTGTGAATATAAAATCACTTTTGTAAATGTATAATACACATAATATACATATGTGACCCTGGACCACAAAACCAGTCATAAGGGTAAATTTTTCGAAATTGAGATTTATACATCATCTGAAAGCTGAATAAATAAGCTTTCCATTGATGTATGTTGTATGTTATGATATGACAATATTTGTCTGAGATACAACTATTTGAAAATCTGGAATCTGAGGGTACAAAAAAAATCAAAATATTGAGAAAATCGCCTTTAAATTTGTCCAAATGAAGTTCTTAGCAATGTATATTACTAATCAAAAATTAAGTTTTGATATATTTACAGTAGGAAATTTACAAAATATCTTCATGGAACATGATCTTTACTTAATATCCTAATGATTTTTGGCATAAAAGAAAAATCAATAATTTTGACCCATACAATATATTTTTGGCTATTGTTACAAATATACCCCAGCGACTTAAGACTGGTTTTGTGGTCCAGGGTCACATATATATACAGTGGGGTCCAAAAGTCTTAATTTAAAGAGTTCATTTCCATTTTAGATTTTATTTATTTATTATTTTGAATATTAATATTTTTTATTTAAACAAATTAAATTCAAAAATTAGCTTGAACGTGTTATTGAAAACATTCCTATATTTCCAGGTTGAAATTTGATTTTGAATTAAAGATACACTACCATTCAAAAGTTTGGGGTCAGTAGTTAATAATTTTATTCAGCAAAAAAGAATTGAATTGATAAAAAGTGACAGTAAAGACATTTATGATTTAGTTTCCTTTTTAAATAAATGCTGTTCTTTTAACCATCTATTCAACAAAAATTCCTGAAAAAAACTGTACCATGGTTTCCAACGGTTGTCGGTACTGATAAAACCAAGAAATGTTTCTCAATCAGAAAATTAGAATGATTTCTAAAGAATCATTTGACACTGCTTTGACCTCACAGGAATAAATCATTTAAATGTTATTTTTAAAAAACGTACTATTCTCAAACTTTTCAACAGTCATATATTTAGGCTCTTTGAACCTATAGAAAATGACAAAAAGGGTCATTATATCAGATTAAAAGCTTAATGTAAATACAGAAACCATAATGCTACACAAAAATCAGACAATTAATGTGAGACAGTTTGAGTTGGAGTCTGAGAATTGTTAATATGGCTCTGGTATAAGTCATATCTAATGACTGTGATTATACTGACTCAGTCTTGCTCTCCCAAAACATGCCCTGTTGTTTTGATGATCTTCAGTATAGCTCACACACACACACACACACACACACACACAAATCCACATCCCTGAGGCAGTTCCTCATTCCGTCAGCGTTTCTGTCTGAACAAGCTGAGTGATCCATGCAGTATTGCGTGGACTGATGAGCATCTGTGTGTGTGTGTGTGTGTGTGTGTGTGTGTGTGTGTGAGTAAAACCCACACAGGTTTGATGAGCATCTGTGTGTGTGTGTGTGTGTGTGTGTGTGTGTGTGAGCAAAACCCACACAGGTTAAGAGCAGGTGTGGCAGGGTGGAGCCGTCGGGTGATTAAAGACACCTGCTGCAGGCGCAGGGTGTGCGTCAGTGCCTGCACATTTCTCAGTAACCCATAAACAATTAATAGCATGTTTTCAAATGTATTTTTCTGTAGAATGATTGATATTGGACCTTCATCAAAATAAGATTAATCAATAATTTTAAAAATGATATCTTACATTTATATTTTCTCCAAAGTAATTTTGTAACTTACATGGGTTGTATAATGCAGCAATATATTTTTCAAATAAACAAATGAAAATGATTAGAAAAATAAATAACATTTTATAATACAGACAGAGAGGTACTAAACTATAGTTTATTTTCATTATAGTTTTTATTTATTTATTTTGTATGTTATTTAATATATTTTTTAAATGAATTAAAAATAACCAATTAATTTGAAAACATTACCTAAATTGTTCTTTATATTTCCAGGTTTAAATTAGATTTGGAATTCCAGATTTGAGTTATGTATGATATAAGACTTTTTTTTTTTTTTTTTTTCCAGCAAGGATGCATTAAATTGATTAAAAGTGACAGTAAATATGTTCAGAATTTTACAAAAGATTTCTATTTTAAATCATTTCAAAATTTTTAAATTTCAAATAGTTCTGTTCTTTTGAACGTTCTATTCATCAAAGATTCCTGTAAAAAAAGGTATCATGGTTTTCACAAACATATTAGGCAACTATATATAAATACATACAGTATGTAAAAACATATTTATTATAAAATATTTCTTAAAAAACATGCAAATGATTAGAATTATTATACACAAAAATGAAAATAACATTTTATAATATTGACAGATATGTACAATGGCTAGCACTCACTGAATGCACTGAAGAGTAATAGAAGAGGAGCAAATATTAATGCTAATTATGTTTTTTGGAAAACAGTTATTGATTTTAAAACATTTTTCACATACTTACAGGACATATAGACAATGCATATTATGTATTATCGGATCTTGATTGAATATGCATAGATATTATATGGTTGCATATTGACTGGATTGTTTAATTTTAAACATCTTTAATATTAATATGCTGTTTAATGTCCTGTAATGAGCATTTGATCTTCTGAGAGGAATGTTCTTTAATATATCTACAGGAGATAAGCACTGACTTGTTCAAAGTCTAATTTGATTAAAGTTAACTCTCTGCTTCTGGATCATTGTGATGCAAGAATTTGCTGACAGCTGAAATGTCAAACTGTGATTTATTAGGCAAAACCTTTAATCAAACACTGTTATGTTTGATTTAATAAACTGGTAAGTCAAGCCGAGATCTAGATCCCCTTTATAGCTGGTGGACTTCTACAAAATCAACAGCATTGCCAAAGAGAGAACTGTCTTCCTGAAAGAGCCTGAGGGATCATTAGCTGTAAGACTTGTCACATGTATAAGAGCACATTATGTTTATTTACCGAGGTGCCAAAGTTTAACTCTGGTGAACTCTGATCTGCAAATTTGCGACGCGAAAGGATGTCTGACCAATAAAGGTTATAAAATGAAACGTTGATCTCTTGGCTCAATGCACAATGAGCTTGACATCATATCCTGTTGCTGATATTTGTTATGATCTCTTTGAGCCAAATGCGACCCCTCCTTAATCAGTTTATCATTGCTGAGTTTAGAGGTAGTTAAAGGTTAGAGTTCAGCTTTGGGATAGGGTTACCTATGGATGCCAGTTTTCACAGAGTTATTTTGTTTGTTTATTTCTCATAAATTGTGACTTTATATCTAACAATTGTGTCAGAGTTTTTTCAGAAGTTACAATTGCAACTATATTTCTCCTGAATTTAGATTTTATTTCTTTAATTGCAACTTTGTTTTGTGACTTTATTTCTCATAGTCATTACTTTATAACTCACAGTTTTGGCAACTGTTTTTTCACAAATGTAACCTTTTTCTCATAATTGCAATTTTTTTCTTGTAATTGTGACTGTATCTCACAATTGCAACTTTATTTCTTCTGAATTTTGATTTTATTTCTCATAATTTACTTTGTTTCTTACATTTGCGACTTTATTTCTGACAGCCATGACTTTATATCTCACAGTCGTGACTTTGTTTCTTACAATTATTACTTTTTTCTCGTAATCGTGACTGTATCTCACAATTGCAAATTAATTTCTCCTACTTTTTTATTTAATTTCTTCTAATTGTGACTGTTTCTTACATTTGTGACTTTATTTCTGACAAGCATGACTTTACATCTCACAACTGTAGAATCTTCATCATAATTGAGACGTTTTTCTGATATTTTGAACTGTTTTTCCTGTAATTGTGACTGTATGTCACAATTGCAACTCTTTCTCCTAAATTTCAGTTTTATTTCTTGTAATTGCAACCTTTGTTTCTTACATTTGCGACATTATTTCTGATAAGCATGAATTTATATCTCACAACTGTGGCAACTTCATAATTGAGACCTTTTTCTCATAAATGCAATTTTTTATTGTAATTGTGACTGTTTCTTTCAATTGCAAATTAATTTCTCCTACATTTTTATATTATTTCTAATTGCAACTTTTTTCCTTACATTTGCGACTTGATTTCTGACAAGCATGACTTTACATCTCACAAATGTGAGACGTTTTTTCCCATAATTGCAACTTTTTTCCTGTAATTGTATCTCACAATTACAACTTTTCTCCTAATTTTGTTTTATTTCTTCTAATTGCGACCTTTGTTTTTTACATTAGCAACTTTATTTTTGACAGTCGTAACTTTATATCTCACAATTGTAGCAAATTTTCTCCTAATTGCAACTTTTTTCTTGTAATTATGACTGTATTTCACAATTACAACTTAATTTCTACAAAATTTCAATTGTATTTCTTCTCAGATTGAAAAAAAATAATAATAATTTTCTCATAGCCTAATTGTGAGACATGTTTTCATAATTACAGTTATTTTTCATGATTGTGACTATTGCAACTTTATTTCTCCTGAATTTAGATTTTATTTCTTGTAATTGCGACTTTATTTCTCATAGTCATGTCTTTAAATCAAACAATGTGACTTTCTAACACGTTGTATTATTACTCTGAGGTGGAAACAGGCTTTCGTAGGTAGGGCTATGTTTTGTTTGACTGCTGATCCAGTGCACAGTCTTGTCATGCCCGTCATTTGTGTGTGTGTGTTTCTGTTTCAGAGGCCACGTCATGCCCATGCCCTCTTTGACTTCACATCTAATCATGCGACTCATCTACGTTTCTTGCGCGGTGATGTCATCGACCTGCTCGACTGTTCGGATGCTCAGTGCTGGAGGGGGCGGTGCCGTGGAAGAGTGGGCGTATTTCCACCAGAGTATGTGCAGCCAATTTATCACTGAATTTCAGCTATGTGTGTCACCATCCTGTACAGTCAAACTCATTGGATGAGAGCCCAAGAAATATTCATCAGTCACGCATATTCTTCATAAATCTGAAGGTAAACTAAGCCTTATTCATCAGTGTTTGGTGTATCAGGTGATTAAAGGCTTAAATTTAACCTTATGTGTCAAAGGTCAACCTTTGCCCATCATCTTCTTTGTTGATCGCTGTCAGAAGGCAAATCAGAAATCAGTTATAACTTGTCAACAAACCAGTTTTATAACACCTTTAATGAACATAACAATTGGCTATTCAGTGTCATCATTTACTCATTGATCAGCCATTATCTGAGCTTCCTGTCTATTCTTCTTTCAAATACTTTAAAGTCCTTTCAAATAAAGGTATGACATTAGAATTGGAGTATCAACCTTGCATTTTTTTTGCACTTAATGTTTTATATTGATAGTGCAAAAAAAAAAAATGCATTATCATGTCTTTTTATTTCAAGCAGAAGTGAGCCAGACCTACTATGTATTTCTTTTATTCAATATAAAGTTCTATATACATGAGCTTGGGAAATATTATATTTATTTTATAATTTTTTTTCTTTATTGTTCTTATGCCATAAACATACTTTTGAGGATTACTAATGACAATTTTTGTGATTTAAAAAATGTATTTATTTCTGTGAAATTACTTTCTCCAGTCCCAGATTAACATGCAAAGACAACTTTAAATCATTTGCATGTTGATTTCTCTGTAAACACTGTGGCCTCCTGGTGCTATCTAAACATTTGCTCAACCAATGATGTAAGTTTGGGATGGGGCTATCATTTTGATCATCCAATGGCAGATTGGGTGAGTGTCCAGGATGCCTGTCACATTTATTTTTGTAATTCTGTTTAATGCCACAGAAATTACACACTTTACCTTTTTTTTCATTTATTTGATTTTTATTTTTTTACTGTAATGTTGAAATAATTACCATAATTAATTTAATTTAGACCTCTAGTAATTATTATAAATTGCTAATTTAATTTCCTAAACAATAATTTAACAAATCATTGAAAAAAACCAACAGAAAATGTATGTTGTTAAATACAGAGGTGATTATAAAAAGTATTGTATAGGATACATAATATATATATATATATATATATATATATATATATATATGTGTGTGTGTGTGTATGTATTTTTTTTATTAATTTCTGTACCTATTATTAGAGTGAGAGCAAGCTATTTCATTGTTATCATTCATATGTTTGTTCAGGAAGACCGCTGACTGATGTTCTAATGGAAAACAAATGTTGGATCCACCTATGCCATGTGAAAACATTTGGAACATATAGTGCTGTTTACGTCATGACCAAAAAATAAGCAATAATAAGCTGATATTATTTTTTGAGTGACATAATTAAAATAATTACTCTCTACTGATTATTTCATTTATAACAAGCAATGTAATTTCATTTACATTGTCATGTACGATGTGTAAAATTAAAGGTTAAACTCTTATTTTTCCCTTGAAAATACTCCTGCTGTTCAATGATATGCAAAATATACAGTATATCAGCAAGCAAGGCTTAGCTGCAACGCTGCCGTTCTGGCATGTAATGCAATAAAATATGAGACAGTCAAATTGCTGACTCAACTTTACACCTATTAACATATAAATTGTCTGTACACGTTTAGATAGCAAGCATTGCTATTTATGTTGTGTTATGATAGACACTTTAAATCTATAACTTTTGTAGAAATATAGCAATGTCAGGTGTAATATTGTGTGATGATGTAAGGATGTATTTTACAAGCACATATTGTCTCTATTAACTGTCAACTCAAGGGAAAAAAATAAACTTTTATTTACTAAGTGTATTGCTTGTACTTGTACTCCAAATGTAAAGGAGGTTTAGTATATCTAGCCCAAAATGTTTCAAATCTGCTAAAAAAAAAACACTTGGTTTACACATTTGCTTTGTGATTTTAATGTCAACTTTGCACATTAACAATATAAATTAAGAGAAAAAATTTAATATTGCTTGTACTTGTACTCCAAATGTAAAGGAGGTTTAGTATATCTAGCCCAAAATGTTTCAAATCTGCTAAAAAAAAACACTTGGTTTACACATTTGCTTTGTGTTTCTAAGAGAAAAAATTTAAACATGAACACCCACAAATATTTAACAGTTAGCGTTTCTTATAACCCACCCTAATTTTCTGTTCTTAAAATCATTCACAAGCTGTTCTTACAATCATATAAACTAATGGCTACTCTCACACTATTGTTGAAATAATGATTTAGACACAAATTACAGTCATTGACATGCTGTACAGAAAATTACAGTTTAATCACAGATCATTTATTTCCAAGAAGCAAAATGGCAGTTAAATTTACACCCACATCTTTGGGAGTATCTAATGAGCATATTTATTTTTTCCCAGTCAATGTGAACATATTTATCAAACATAAGCTCTTACTATAAGCGTAACGTATTACCTTTTAAGCATGCACTGTGAAAAAACTCATGGTCATTTATTTTTTGCTCTATTCTCAAATACAGTTCTTTTACGTAGTGCATATATGCATTATATGTATATCTAACTGAACAACTATTAAAACACAATCTATAAAATATTTTATGTAGCCCAATAATTTAAAGGGATTTTATGGAAGCTTGTTTCCTCCATGCGATAAAAAATTGAAGGTTTGAAGGTATTTGTGACTTCTTATCTCACAATTCTGAGAAAAAAAATATTGTGAGATATAAAGTTAGATTTGCGACATATAAACTTGCAATTCTGAGAAAAAAAAAAAAGGTTGTAATAGTAAGATACAAACTCGCAATTGCAAGAAAGTCTTATCAGAAGTCTAGGTGATGCATTTGTACCAAAAAAACAAAAAACTATGTGTGTGGCGGTATGTGTTACGCATAGTAAGCATAGAGGAAGATGTTGACGCACATGAGAATGATAGCGTTGACACAACAGAAACGAGACCAGAAAGGATCTTCTCTGGTGCTGTGAATTATAGGAGGTGGCGTCCCGGTTGCAAATCGTCCAGGTCGAGGGCTACAGAACCCAGCGGTGCGGACACACTTACCCCTGCGCACAGACTCAGAGCCTAAACAAAAATGCTGAATGTGAAATTAACTGGCAAGGGAGCTGTACAGTGATAGTATCAAATGGTAATACCATAGTGCTTTGTTATATACTAGAGTACTGAATGATTGCATGTTCATAAACTATGGGATTTACATGCTTTCTAAGGTTCTTGAAGGAATACCAAAGTATTATCATGGTATACAATTTCGAAAACCTGACTTACAGTACTTAAAAGGCTTTATAGCTGATTTAAATCACATATTGCATGATTGCATGCTGAGACATTAATTTTAAACTTCATTACAATTTTCTAACGTTGTGTTTGGTAAAATAATCCACTGTATGCAGTAAGCTTTCATTCAAAACCAGGAAAATGACAAGTGGTATTTTTCTCAGTTCCTTGTGTGTGTTCTCACGCATATAAGAGACTTTTGTTTTGTCAACTGATACACATATGTAGAACAGCACCACACCCTGATGAATAGGCCACAACAATCCTCATGAGATCTATCATGCTGTAAACTCTTCACACACCTCCGTTCTGTATTAGGAAGCTGGATTAGTGTGTGTTTGACTACTTGTGAAGTCCAAAATGTCCTCACTATTCAAAAATGTCCTTACTAATATAGTGTAACCTGTTGACTGACTAGTCCTTACTAGTTTATGAGGCTTGCTGTATAAATCAGCCAAATCATGTTTCTATTTAAATCTAGTTATATTTAAGGCTAGAGTTCTGTTTAGGTGATAGAAAATATCACTAAACCCAATTTAAAAACAATGGAAGTCTATGAGATGTCCACACTAATATCATGAAACAAATGTGTGTTCCATACCGTCTGTCCTGCAGCTAAGAGTAGCTACTTTCTGTAGAGGTATTTCTCTCTCAGTGCTGTTATGTAGAGTCCACCAGGTAAGATTATGTGTCTGAAACCAAATCAAACACAAGCCACTTGAGACATGATATACCGTATACTATGGGGTTTTATTAAATTTAGTAAATCAATTAAATTTCAAACAAATCTCAAAGGAAGGGATTGATTAAGAATTCTACGAGTACAATTAAGAGTATACTAAGAGTATAGTATAGTATAGTATACTGGGGGGCTATAAATACTGTTGAGGCTACACTGTAAAAAATGACCGTGAATTTAACGGGAAAAGACTGTAAAAATGCTACAGTAAAATCCTGTTAAATGGTTAATGGTAAATTCCCCTACTATATACAGTGAAAAACTGTATTGGACATTACATGTATTGGACATTAATTTTACGGTAGTATACCGTTTTTGGAAGTGAAAAAGACTGTGTAATTTACAGTGAATAACCGTAAGTTGACATTCCCAGAATTCTTAGGGTTGTGTGTTACACCTAATGTTGTTAAATGAATGTTTATTGCATTATTTCAGTTTCATGTGTGTTACCATGATGGTGTTTGGTGTTTGTGTGAATGACACTGTGCACCTTCTATATATGTTATTATTTAAAAGCTGCTTGTGATGGGCTTTGGTTCATCATGTGACTTTCTCATCACCACCTGCATTTGGTGGTTATCAGTGTATTACAAAGGTACAAAACAGATTTCAGTAATTCAATAGGTTGGTATATTAACATTATATCAGTTAATGAAATTACGGTATTTAACTGTAAATGTAAGTTAAAACCGTAAAACCTAAAACGTTGCTACCGTATTTTTTATGGTAAAATTCCGGCAACCACAGCTGCCGTTTTTTTACCGTAAATTTTACGGAATTTTTTTTACAGTGTAGGCTATCTTTGAAATGGCATACTACTATACTATTTTTTATTGTTTCTGCAGTATATAATGCACAGGTTTTTTTTTCTGAATATTTAGTTCTGTAGCCTGTAATGCAATGCACTTGACTGAACCTTTCATTTCCAGTCAAACAAATGAAGTGAAATTAATATCAGCAATGATTTAAGCTCTTTTCTTTACTTGATCAGACTGTCAAGAGTTGAGACAATTTTGAACAAAACTGTAGCAAAATAAACCAGTAAATTGCAGAATTAAACATGCTTGCAATGAGGTAATGTGGCAACAATGTAGCATATTGCACTACTGTTTGCATAATGCAAAACTGTTTCACATACTGCATCAAGTACAGTACTATTTAAAAGTCTGATGTCAGTAAGGTTTTACTGAAAGAAATTAACACTATATTTAGCAAGGATGCATTAAAGGGTTAGTGCACCCAAAAATGAAAATTAGCCTGTGGTTTACTCACCCTCGAGGCATCCTAGGTGTATGTGACTTTCTTCTTTCAGACGAATTCAATCGGAGTTATATTAAAAATTGTGCTATTCCAAACGTTATTGTTGCAGTGGGTGGGTGTTTCTGTTGAACAGTCAAAAGACGTCAAATAAAGCGCGCGCATCCATAATAAAACATGCCTCACATGGCCCTGGGGGATGAATAAAGGCCTCCTGTAGTGAATCCATGCGTTTTTGTAAGAAAGATACCCATATTTCAAACGTAATAAACACTTCTCTCCCACTTCATCTAACTGTCATAAGTGGAAGCAGTTCTGGCGGATGACGTAGGACGTCGGTGTAGCGTGATTAGTGACGAACGCGGAGAGAGCACAAAACAAAACGCCGGTCACGAATTAGGCCCTGTCCCAAATGGCACACTTCATGTGCACTTTCAGTCTTGAGGACTTACAATGGCCGCTGCGTGCGCGTGTCCGTTAAGTCCACGAGACCGTAGGGTGTCCCATTTGTCATTTTAGTGTTCAGAAGGGTGCTCACGAGCTACGCAGCCAATTTCTACCCGGCAGTCAAAGCGGCATTACATCACGAAAGTGCGGACTCTGAGGAAGACCGTGAGGGTTTAGGGTGCCATTTGGGACAGGGCCTTAGAAGTACAAACCAAGGATTTGCAAAGAAAAATGTCGGAGGATTTCGATATAAGCCAAGAGGAGACTGGTTTTCCTTTGCTAAAGTAAGGAAACTTTGCTTCCTTTGCTTCCTTTGCTCCTGTGAACAAACTCGCTAGACTAGCATATCTCAGAGGCGCGTGCTGCGCATACGTCCTGTGTCATCCACCCGGAACGCCTTCCACGTACGACAGATAGCGGAAGTGAGAGAAAAGTTTTAATTACGTTTGAAATATTGATATTTTTCTTACAAAAACGCATGGATTCGCTACAGGAGGCCTTTATTCATGCCCCGTAGCCATGTGAGGCACGTTTTATTATGGATGCGCGCACTCTATTTGACGTCTTTTGGACTGTTCAACAGAAACACCCGCCTACTGCAATGATAACGCTTGGAAGAGCCAGGACAATTTTTAATATAATAATTATAATAATAATAATAATTTAAATTTTAATATAATATCCAATACCTCCGATTGGATTCATCTGAAAGAAGAAAGTCATATACACCTAGGATGCCTCGAGGGTGAGTAAAACACATTTTCATTTTTGGGTGCACTAACCCTTTAAATTATTTAAAAGTGACAGTAAAGACATTTATGATGTCACAAAAGATTTCTATTTCAAATAAATGCTGCTCTTTTAAACATTCTATTCACGAAAGAATCCAGTTTCCACAAAAATATTAGGCAGCTCAACTGTTTTTAACTTTGATAATAAGAAATGTGTCTTGAGCATTTTAGTATGATTTCTGAAGGATCATGTGACACTGAAGACTGAAGTAATGATGCTGAAAATTCAGCTTTGCCATCAAAGTACAAAAATACATGACATCAAATATAATTAATAATAAAATATATTAAATTAGAAGACAGTTATTTCCAATTGTAACAATATTTCATAACATTACAGTCTTCAGTGTATTTTAGGTCAAAAAATGCAGCATTGGTTAAGGGACTTCTTACAAAAACATTTAAAAAACTTACTGACTCCAAACTTTTGAAAGGTAGTAAACACCATTCTGAACAAAGTCAAAGTCTAAAGGTCAGATAAGGAGCTACAAGAAGTATTATTTTTTAATATTTGTTAAAAATTCTTCTTTTTTTAAATCTATGAAAGCATTACCTGGCTATTACCTGGCATAAATGCTATTACCTGTTCGTCGGTGGGTGGAGGGGTCAGTAGACTGATCACCACCACAACAATAACAGTCAGGGCACAGAGTATGATGGCAAAGTGCAGGTAGTGTACACTCCTCAAGACAGAGGGAGCAGGGTCAAAAACACCACAGCGAGGGGGAGGAAACACAAACTCTAGAACCATCCGCGTCAATCCCACCGCTAGACCCACCATCAGGCCCCAGAATGCTCCCTGCTTACACAATACCAAACAAACACACATGAGGAAAACTCTTCAGGAAACCTCTTAGCATTTACGTTTATGAATTTGGCAGACACTTTTATCCACAACTTGCATTGCATTTAAGATACACATTTAATCAGCTTCTTGAGAATTGAACCCATGACCTAGGCGTTGCGAGAGTCATGCTGTACTGTTAGAGCTACAGGAAGACTTAGCATTCTCTGGTGCTCTACATACCAACAGTGGTGTTCCTTTTACTCAGTGTGTTATATGAGCGTGGGAGACTGTTAAACTAATAATTTATTTTTAAACATTTCAGGTATCTTGAGAGGATGCACTAAATGAACTCTGAGCTGAGATTCCTGACGTGACAGGCTCTTATGTGCTTATTTAATGTACTTAAGGGTGGAGTGAGGTGTGAAAGTCCCTTGACAAACAGCAATTCCTGTGAAGCATGTCATATTTCAGTTATATTTATTCAAGTGTTTTGCCAAAAAATGTGTTGCGTGTAAAGACAGTAGATATGAACTATTATGTAAGTTAAACTGATTTTATTCTTGTACATTTTGTGTCACTGACTCACACGGATGCACTTACACAAATACGTTCACTGTAACGATTTATTTCTTACCCTATGAATGTCACCCGGCCAGTTTTAGTTTCTTTAGGCAGGCTTCTTTTTTTGGGGGGTGGGGGGACATTAGCTTTCGCCATAACATGGCCTAACCTTAAACCAATGTTAAAGTTCTCTACTTACTGGCTTTTTTTCCAGAGCAATTATACTTGTCTGAGATCTCACAAACTAAAATGGGTATTTCCTTTTTGCTATGGGGGACGGAGGATAACTTTGCACTAAATTACCCTTCAGGGTAAAAACGAACAGGCATTTTGAAATCCCACCCTCCCAGTTTTAAAGCTCTTAAATGTTTAGTTCGACAGGTTTTCATTCTTTTGTTAAACTGCCTGGCTAACAGCTAATCTTTTGCTAAGTTACAGACAATGTGAGCAGATACGGTCACTCTAATGCAGTCAATGAGAAAACTGCAGTTTTGTTCTTTGTAAAACATCCAAGATAATCAGCCTGGTACACCACAATCCTTCTGAAACATTCATTCTAAGCATATTTTTCAAAACACATTGGGTTTGGGGGAAAATAACAGTCACTATCCTGGAAAAACAAATGGACATACATTTTATGATCATCTTCAGTTTCAATCACAGTTCTTAATATGGAAAATGAAAGTGATTATGTTAATGACTTTAAAGTTAAGTTCTACTACAAAATCTAAATCCTATTGGACCTTATTAGTATATTTGCTCATTAATTTCTATTAATCACTATTATTCGGCTATTAGTCTTCTTCCATTTTCTAGTTCTATAAATACATATTTGTGGTTTTATTTCCATTTAAATAGATCTCAACCCAATGACAGGGCATAAATATCAGCTAATCTAAACGATTAATCTGCCCCTCGATGTCTAACTCAAACTGCATTTTTGAGGCTATGAATCATTTCTACATTCTTTCATGTAATTGCTTTTGAATAAAAAACACCATGATGTTGGATCTTAGACAAGTAACCTTTATGCATTACACAATGATTAATGATTTTAAATAGGTGACACAATTCCGTGCATGAAATGCAAACAAACACAGTCATAAACACCTGCCAACTAGCAGCAGCTCCTTCTCACTAGCACCTCTTCGATACTTCTTCCAGATGTCCATGGTGAAGAGGGTGCTACTGCTGTTAAAGATGGAGGTCAGTGATGACATTAAAGCGGCCATCATTACAGCTATCATTAACCCCCTGAGGCCTGGAACACACATGTACAATTGCATGATTTATGCTAAAAAGACCATGCCATGGACTATGCATTTGGTAAAGTACATGTTAACAATTCAAACATATACACAATTTGAAAAAACAAAAAGTGATTCTGATTACCGCTGGGCATGAGCTCGATGACCAGTTTTGGAAAAGCAATGTTGGAACAGCCCACCTCTGCACCACACACCTTTACACACTCTTCAGGGTCCACGCAAGCCACTGTGTCTGGGAAAAAAAAGATGCAATGATGTAGTTTATGTATATGTATATGTATATCTATATGTGTGTATATATATATATATATATATATACAGGGATACAGTGCCTTGCAAAAGTATTTTTTTCACGTTTTGTTGCTGCCTTATGTTAAACTGCTTTAAATTACTTTTTTTTCCCACATCAATTTACACTCCATACACCATATTGACAAAGCAAAAACAGAATTCTCACAACTTCGTAAATTTATTAAAAATAAAAAACTGAAATAAGCACATTGCATAAGTATCCATACCCTTAACTAAATATTTAGCTGAAGCACGTTTACAGCCTCAACACTTTTTTGTTTGATGCGACAAGCTTTGCTCATCAGCATTTGGAAATTATCTGTCATTCTTCTCCTCGCCTCTTCACCTCTCAAACTCTGTCATGTTGGATGGGGGCAGACACACATTTTCAGGTTTCTCCAGAAATATTTGATTGGGTTCAAGGCCAGGCGGTGGCTGGGCCACTCAAGGACACTCACAGAGTTGTCTATAAGCCACTCTGCTGTGTGCTTAAGGTCATTGTCCTGTTGGAAGGTGAACCGTCCGTCCAGTCTGAGGTTCTGAATGCTCTGGACTAGGTTTTCATTAAGGCTATCTCAATATTTTGGTGCATTGAGCTTTTCTTCTACTCTGATATGTCCCTCAGTCCCTGCCGCTGAAAAACAGCCCCACAGCATGAGGCTGCTACCAGCACACTTTACTTTTGGGATGGTACTCTGCAGGTGATGAGCAGTGCCTGGTTTCCTTAAAACATGATGCTTGGAATTGAGGCTCATCAGACCAGAGAATTTTGTTTCTCACAGTCTGAATGTCCTTCAGGTACTTTTTTTTGTAAATTCCAAATGTGTTTTCATGTGTTTTCACTGAGGAGAGTATTGAGTCTTGCCACACCGCCATGAAGCCCAGATTGTAGAGTGTTGTAGTGATGTTTGTCCTTCTGCTGAAATCTTCCCCAGATGTGTGGCTTGACACAAACCTGTTTCTGAGCTCTACAGGCAGTTCTTTTGACCACAGGGCTTGTTTTTTGCTCTGATATGCATTAACAGCTGTTAGACCTTTTATTAAGACGTGTGTGTGCCTTTCCAGATCATACCTATTCAACTGAATTTGCCACAGGTTAACTTCACTTGAAGTGTAGTAACATCTACAAGCAATATGAATGGTCTTGAGCTAAATTTCAACTGTCCCAGATAAGGGTATGAGTCCTTATGCAATGGAATCATTTAAAGCTGCAGTCCGTACATTTTGCCTCTTTGTCGCCATCTTGTTTGAAAACCTGCAATTGCAGCTGTTTGCGGAATAATTTTCCTTGCGTGGGTTGTGCGCCGGCGCGGCTCCAGCGCAGATGAATCTAATGTTTTGAGGAGTATGTGTGGCAATCAGTCAGCGCACCGATGTGGATATTCACTGTACTTCAGAATCACAGATTCTAGCCTATGTCTTGGAATATATGACCCAAATAAGAATTTTCACAGAATACTGTCATCTGAACAAGTAAATAACAAGTCTGCCACGTTTGTTCTGACCAACTGAGGAAAAAAGCATTACAATTAATCTAAAGATCGGTTAGCTCATATCACATCAAACCGTGCAAATTATTATTATTGTTATACTTT